CATTAGCCTCAATGTCATGGAGGGTTTTGCCAACTTTGTCTTCAATGTACCTTATGGTTTCTGGTCTGATGTTGAGGTCTTTAATCCATTTTGATCTTACTTTTGTACATGGTGTTAGGCAGAGTTCTGAGACCATTTTTTTGCATGTAGCCATCCAGTGATGCCATTACAATTTGTTAAACAGGCTTTCCTTACTCCACTTCACATTACTTGCACCTTTATCAAAGATTAGATGATCATATGATTGAGGGGAGATGTCAGTGTATTCAACCCTGTTCCATTGATCTGCAGTTCTGCCTTTGTTCCAGTACCATGCTGTTTTAATTATTACTGCTTTGTAGTACAGTTTGAAGTTCAGGAGGTTGATTCCTCCCATTTTCTTTTTCCAAGAATGGCTTTAGCTATTCGTGGGGGCTTACTGTTCCATATAAATTTCAGGAGTGTTTGCTCCATTTCTTTGAAGAATGTCATGGGTATCCTTATAGGGATTGCATTGAATTTATACAATGCTTTCTGTAGTATTGCCATTTTGACAATGTTAAGTCTCCCGACCCATGAGCAGGGGATATCTTTCCACAATTGGTTTTCTATTTCTGGTTATGAACAACATATGATGTTTCGCAGCCGCAGTAGTGGCTGCATGATTTTGGAATTCGAAATTTTAATAATTAAATCTGGAGGGATTTCTGCCAAAACTTGCTGGGTTCTGAGATTTGTTCCTGAGTTTCTGGGATCATGGCTGTTAAGCAGCTTGATCAGGAGCCAGAGAGGCCGTTTGTGGGTGAGGACTTGGGGTCTCGTTTTGGGGGTGGAGAGGAAAGGGCCAGTTCCACTCCCATATGGACAGAGACCCCGCATGTCTTAAGTGAGAAATTCTTTAGTAGCTCTTCAGCGACTGTTCTCCCTACCAGGAATTTGAACAAGAGAGCAGTTCTCAAACTGTCTCCATGCGCTATTTATGGACGAGGTTCATCTCCTGTTCCCAAGCTAAGTGAACATGAAAGCTGGACACAGAAGCCAAAGATAAGCAACTAGTGGAGCGACCTATAGACTACAAAATAGAAATATTAGCAGGACAATAAGTGAACAATACATTGATTAATATAGATAATAGTTAAAATGGGCTGGAGTGATAGCACAGCTGGTAGGGCATTTGCCTTGCATGCAACCAACATGGCGGACCTGAGTTCAATTCCTCCACCCCTCTCGAAGAGCCTGGCAAGCTACTGAGAGTATTTCGCCCACACGGCAAAGCCTGGCAATGTACCCGTGACGTATTCAATATGCCAAACACAGTAACAACAAAGTCTCACAATGGAGATGTTACTGGGCCCACTCGACCAAATCAATGAACAACAGGAGGACAGTGCTATAGTGCTGTATGTCAATGGGGCTCACACTCCGGGTGCCAGGGTCAGAGATAGTTAGCCTCTTTCCGAAGGGAGTAGTGTCAGTTGGACTTCCACACAAAGTTTTTTATAATTGCAGGGGGAACTGCTCCCATTTGGATATGTCTTTGTTTTAAATTACATTGTATCTTTACCAGATCTGTAAATCAAAATACGTGTGTGATCTGGGAACCCAGGGTAATGCTGTATTAACAAGGCATTGGTCTGGATATCTTGCACTAGTAGAAATACCAGGGATCTTGATGATCCAAATACATTTTTGCTCTGAGCTTAATAAGTTTTCACTTCTTACTAACTTTCTAAAATTTTCCCGTAGGTACAGATCCTGGAGTACAGTTCTGCTTTCTCACCTTGAGATAATTTTTATGAACTGGCACGCCTCCAACTTCTCCCTTTAGGGCAGCTTCAGGAGACATTTTTCTGTGATGTTTTCTTTCTGCTCTCAGGATCATAAAGGGATCACCGTTTTGTCTAAAGCAATCAGATTGGCACTTTGACCCCCCATTCAGAGGGTTGGCCTCAGAGAATAAGAGAACTACATAACGAGACAAACACAGATGGACTGTCCAAGTTTCCGTTCTCTTGAGCAGCCATCAGCAGATTCACAGACAGGTTATTTATTCAATAAAATACTGCTCCCCCAACAACCCCTCAGGGCTTCCAATGGTGAGCCATTATTGGCAGAGACATTAAGGTCAGTTAGTAAGCACTTTAGCATCAATAGGTACGTGGAGAGCGGAGGCTCAGACTATTTCACAGTTATCAGAAGGTACCTTAAAATGTAAAGTCCTGACAGCTTTCTATTCTACTTTTGCTCAAGTGCCCCGAGTATCTAAAATACCCTCAAAAGTCCTATTTTGTGTTTCCCTGGCACAGTTTTGCAGCCAGCAGATATTTGTTATCTAATCTATTCTTTTCTGGTATTCTATCTTGGGTACACTTTTGCAAATCCTTTGAATTCCAATACCTAAGCTATTTTACCGGACTGGAGCGATAGCTCAGCAGGTAAGGCTGTTTGCCTTGCATGCAGCCAACATGGCTGACCCGAGTTTGATTCCTCCGCCCCTCTCAGAGAGCCCGGCAAGCTATCAAGAGTATCTCGCCCGCGCGGCAGAGCCTGGCAAGCTACCTGTGACGTATTCGATATGCCAAACACAGTAACAACAAGTCTCACGATGGAGATGTTACTGGGCCCGCTCAAACAAATCGATGAATAACGGGAGGACCATGACCGTGACCATAAGCTATTTTACCAGGGTCATATCATAGTCTTAGATTTGTGTGTGAGTGAGTGTGTGTGTGTGTGTGTGTGTGTTTTGGTTAGGGGAACAATTTCCCACAGTGACTAACATATTTTTATAGACAGTTTTTAGGTGAAAATATACATCTTTCCTTTTGAAGGTATTTTCTCATTTGTCAGATATTTAGAAAATATTTATTCTGAGCTTTCACTGCTTTTTAACTAATGAGCCATAGATTTGCTCTGGGTTTCAGCATATTTAATCATTGTGTTTTATTGCCATGATGTAGGAGATCAAATTAGGACAATCATGAGCCACCTCACATTCACAAAATTTGTTGTACTTTATATGATGGAAAAATTAAGTTTTCCTATAAATAATCTTTTTTTTCCAGGCCTGGACATTGCAATGATGCTGCAAAGCTACTGCTCTTAAAATCAAATTACTCATAATAGAAGTAGAGGTTAAGAAGGAACAAATGTAGAGAAGTCAAATAATTGTGTAGGGCTAAAACATTAGGATTTTTTTAGAAATTATGATTTGTTTACCTTAGAAATATAATTTGTTTAACTCATATTACACGTAAATGAGATTAGTCATCCAACTTGTCTGCTGTTCTGCCTTCCTCAGGGTTGAGTCTCCTTAACATGATGGTTGTTTTTCTCCAGTGACTTTTCTCAGAGACTATTTGGAGGGTACTGTACTTCAATACATCTTTATGTGTTCTTTGTATTGTTGTCATGGTAGTGCTTACACAACTGTTCATTTTTGGCCATTTTGAACTTGCTTCTTTGTTTACAATTTTTTTTTAGATTTTTTAACAAAAAAAAAAACTAAAGAACTAACAAGTTCTTTAAAAGAAGCAATTTATGCACATCCTTTAATATAGATGCTACTTATTTCCAAAAGTATTTGAAATCACTATTTATGTAATCAAGGGAGAGAAATGTTCTCAGCAACATCCACTTAAAAGTGACTTTGAAGGATTCGCAGCCTCTGAGGCCTGCTCAAACCACTGGTGGGCGCTGTCTCCTCTGCCCCAGAAACTTGATCTTTCGAAGAGGTGGAGCTACCTGAACAGGCAGGCTGAAAAACGAAAACAAAAGCACAAAATAAACCAGAAGAAATTTAATTTATAAAAATGACATAAGTGAAAAATATTTTAAAACGAATACTGTAATTTAGAATTTCAGTTAATTGTAATGAGACATGCTGTTAAGTTGGGCGGTTTTAAATATCTTTTTCTCTGTTTTCCTCAAGTGAAGCTATTTCTTGCTATTTATGTATAAAATTTAACCTAGGGATTATTTCTGAGCATCTACCAAAGTTGATTGATTTTTAAATAAGAAAGTTCTGTATTTTTGGTCTTAATTCTCAGCAAAACTGTTTAAACTATAAATTTACCTCAATTTTGTGACAAGAAAGAAATATTCGACAATACATAGGATTAGAGAATACATAGGATTCTGTGCTGAGAACTTATTATTAAAAATATTGATCTCTATATATCATGTATATTTTCATAAATGAAATTGCATTCCATGTATCATATATATACTTATATGTGTGTTTGCATATTGCATGGATATATGAAAGAAACAACATTCAAGCCAAATCAGAACTTCAATATTAACTATTTTTTATTTTAATAGTTAATTGGGCTGGAGCGATAGCACAGCGGATAGGGCGTTCGCCTTACAAGCGGCCAACATGGCCCACCCGAGTTCGATTCCTCCGCCCCTCTCGGAGAGCCCGGCAAGCTACCGAGAGTATTCGATATGCCAGACACAGTAACAACAAAGTCTCCAATGGAGACGTTACTGGGCCCGCTCGAGCAAATCGACGATCAACGGGAGGGCCTTTACCTTTTTACCTTTTTAAAATCCACAAAAATTATGTTACATTAGTAAGTGAAAAAGTAAAATGAGAAAGCAAAGTCAGTAAATATATGTACATAAATATATATATTTGTGATGTAGAACACTTTTTTTTTTTGCTTTTTGGGTCATACCCAGCAATGCACAGGGGTTCCTCCTGGCTTTGCACTCAGGAATTATCCCTGGCGTTGCTCAGGGGACCATATAGGATGCTGGGAATTGGACTCGGGTCAGACGCGTGCTAAGCAAACGCCCCACCTACTGTGCTATCGCTCCAGCCCTGGAACTCTTCTTTTAAAAATTTTCTTAACTTTATTGCTCATTTGGATTTACCATACAGCAGTAAACACTAGTTTCAACAGAAAAAAATGAAATTTTGCTGGATCCACCAGATATTGTGATGCTAGAATGTTTCTGATTCTCAGTGAGCTTTACTAATCACCCCTCTGTCTATTTTGTTCTCTGATTAAAAGCAATGAGGGCCAAGACACAGATCTTGCTCAGACACTTTTGAAGAAATTTGGAGACCAGGATCTGCTTTGTGCTGATTTGAACCCACGCACGTAAGTATCAAATAAATTTTGCTAAAGTTCAGACTCCAAATAATAACACTCAGGTCTTTGAAGAGCATTTCTATGATTAGTTTCATGTTACAAATTTATATTATATGAAATAAATATAAGCTTAATGCATAAGTTTACCATCGAATAGAACTGATAGATATTGTGATCTAAAATCATTGGGAGTAAAGCTTGTAATTTTCCTTTTTTTGTTTGTTTTTTTGACAATACTCCACTGCCCAGTAGTGCTCAGGGCTTACTCCTGGATCTGTGCTCTGGGGTCACTACTTGCAGAGTCTGGGGGATAATCTTCAGTGCCAGGGATCTGAATCTAGGCTGGCCATTGCAAGGCAAGCACATTAAACACTCTATTATCTCTTAAGCTCCCATAATTGCTCTTTTTTGTTCTTGGTTAACAGTGCTCTATATTATCATAAAATTAATAATCAATACCACATGGTTTTCTGAGGCATATTTTATTTTATTAGTATTAATTATGTTTTTGTATAATTATAATTTTATAATACTATGAAACATAAATGTAAGAACTCTAGTTTTAGGAAAATATGTACAAATGTAAGAATCAATTATATGTACATACACATGCATACACATCCCACTTACTCCTGGTTCTGCAATCAGGGATCACTCATGACAGACTCAGAAAACCATATGGAATGCTGGGAATTGAACCCAGGTTTGATGTGTGCAAAGAAAACATCTTATCTGCTGTTCTATCAACCTGTTAATTATATTTTTTAAACTAAAGATTATTAAAGATAATTTTGTAAGTTTGTAAATTACAAAAGATACAAACTTTTTATAAGCTCTTCATGAAATTTGTCCTTCACAGGAAAAATACTTTCTTCCTCTGCTTTGCTTAACTATAATTTTTCTTAGCTATTAACTATAATTAGGTTAACTATTACTGAATGTATAAAATCTTTGAGGGGCGACCAGGGAGAGGCCCCAATGGCTCTTCCCCTAACCGCCCAGGTTCTGGGTGCCCCGGGCCGCTCACCCAGCTGGGGTGGCCTGGGCCATGGGACAGATGGTGGACGAAACAAGGGACAAGCTGGTTGATTGATCAGTTGCCATTTATTCCATTCTCGCCATGCGCCATGCAACTGCCCCAGTCTCTCTAAGCCTCCCATTCTAGTCTCACACTGCTCCTCATTCCCATCTCCTTCTCTCTCTCCCACTCATCTCTCCGCTCCATCTCGCAGCCTGGGCTCTCTCTCTCTCTCCACAGGCCTGCTCCTGTATTCTTCTACATTCTTATCTCTCTGTCCCCCTTGCTAGCCTCTCCAGGGTCCATCTTGCCCCCTCCCACCCCCTGTCTCCCTCCAACTCTCTTCTCTCCAATTCCCCAGCACTCTGGGCTGAAACTGCATCCAGTCAGGTTGCAAAATCAGCATAAGAAAGCCCTTCCTGAGGGCCCACCTAATTGAGAGGGAACACCACCTAAAAGGTAGTCCAAAGCCCTTCCTGACTGCCCAAGGGCAAAATACCTCCTAAGGTGTTTTTCTCCTTTCCTCAGTCCAATAACTATCAACATATCAATACTAGCTATTTTTGTATGGACACAGTAAGAGATAACATTGAGGCTTGTAGGGCAGCTCTCCTGGGAACATTTTGCTATAGACTCAGACTACAGAGCTCAGGCCAAATTAATCTTTCCTAACCCTGGCAGGGTCCAAATCTGGTTATTACTTTTTGGATCATGACAACATTTGTCCATGACCAAGCTCTTAACTTATAGTTAAGCATTATGGCACTTTGGCCAGGCCCATCTCGATGCCAAAGTAGCACATAGCTTACCTCTTGCCCTGGTTCCATCCACTCCCTCGTCTGGACCCTGCTTTGGGGGGCACTAGGAAGTAAAGGCAGCTGAGGCTTAGGTGAAAGAACAGATTTCCAGGAGGAAAATATCACTGAGAGTCACATTACAAAAGCATGTCTTCTTGTGTCCATACAAAAAAGCACATTGCTCTGAATAAACTATGCAAAGGACTTAGGGAGAAGAAAAAACCAATAAGTCAAGAGAGCAAAAAGAAAGAAGTTACAAATAAACACAGAGGAATGGAAGCACTGTGATGGGAGCAACCCAATATACCTAAACTGCCCGAGGCTATGCAGGAAGGACAAAACAGTGTTATCCTACAACTGAGTAGCTACAGTGAATCTAGTGCTGTTTTAGAAACCAGATTCTATGTGGTATATGGCTCTGGTCTCAAGGAATTTATTATTGTGAAATCAAATGAGGAAAGTGATAAAAATATATATTGTTCTTACCAGAGATAAGGTTCAAGCTCCTGCCATGCATCAACCCAAATCCCTGACATGGCATTTAGTTCTCTGAGTACCACCAGGAATGAACCTGAGCAGAGAGCCAGTAGTAAACTGTGAGTACAACCAGGAGTAGCTCTGTCTAAAACAAAAGAAAAAAACAAAGATATGTTTGATACTTCCTGAGTACTGGAAGAGTACGATTAAAGTAAAGAATATGAAACTCTAGACAATAATGCAGTAGAGAACAGTATGTTTCTTATGAGCAATATGTTTCTTAATAGATATTGAGATAATTTTCACATAAACCATTTTTTTGCAATGAGATTGAAAGTGAATAACTAGAATTGCTCTCAGTAACAATTTTCTTCATTTTAACATCAGTGTAAAACAAAGTTATTTATTAACCAAGTAAAACTTGCCATGGTGATACATTTATCTCCTTTTCCTCCTAGTGAAACATGCAGGACATAAAGTAATTTTGACTTTGAATACTGGAAATAAAAAAGAGCAAATTTTAGAGTCTTGTGAGGAAAAAAGGAGAAAAAATTTCAGACTTTTCAAGTGAAAATGAAGAAAGAATTAATACTGACCACAAAAAGTATTATATTTGGATATCTATTTTTCTTTCAGTCACTTCACAGGTGTCTGAAGACTCTGTAGCTCAGGCCAGAGTGATAGGACAGTGGGGAAGGCATTTGCCTTGCAGGCAGCCGACCCAGGTTCGATTTGCGGTGTCTCATATGATCCCCTGAGCACTTCCAGAAAAACAAATAAATAAATCATTTATTATTTTTTTAAAGAAGAGTCCTTATCTCTCTTTCTTCCCCCTCACCCTAAATGCCTACTCTTTAGCTGGGCTAAACCACTCTTGTTTCTATTCTCAGTCTTCTATATTCCTCGATCTATGTTTTTTGCTTCTCACTTTTCTTTGTGGAGTTCATGAAATAGTTCTTAAATATTTTTGTTTATGTTTCACATGAGTGAATTTACTAGTGTTGAAAATAACCATAAAGTCAACTTCATAGAATTCTGCCTATGTTTTCCTCCATGTGTCATCAAATTACAGTCCTCATAAACTACTTCACCAAGCAAGTAGTACTGATAGACTAAATTATTTTTGATATGTTAGGAAAATTTCATGGAAATTGTGCTCTGCTAACCTAGTTAATAAAATAGAAAGTTTTTTTTCACTGGGTAGATATTTTTTTTATTGGTGCTCTTAGGCTGGAGCTATAGAACCAGTAGCAGAAAATGTAGACCTTTTCTGAATATCCCAATCTTTCAAAAACTAATTCAAAAATTTGGTCTCAGCTAGAGATTTGTTAATAATATCTAAACAAGTATCTGTATTTCTGCAATTTTTCTCATGTCTTTCCTAGTTTTCAAGAAAAAAAGAATAATTATCATCAATATAAATTTTTTTTTAAAAAAAATTTTGGTGAGGGGAGAACTTCCAAATGGTGTTTAAGAGTTCCTTCCTTGGGAACTCGAACTCCTCCTGGCGATTTTAGGTCTTCTGAACCCTAAGTTCAGTCCAGGGACCCAAGGGCACATCAGGTCCTCTAGTGCCAAAAGTTACCCACGTCTTTCTCGAAGTGCTCAGGGTCCCCCAGGCATACATCTGGTGATGCTTATGTAACTATATGGTACCCTGTATCAAACTGGGGAGGATCACCTGTAAGACATGAAACTTAACCCCTATACTATTTCTAGCTATTTTAAATAAACTTTTAATTTGTAATCATCCATGAAAAATATTAAAGCATGAAATCTATGAGGTTAAAATCTCTAGAGAAACTTGCAGATATAAAACATTTTGGCCACTGTTGCAATTTGCAATTAACTTGCAGTTATATTGCAATTTGTTTTTAATAGCAATCTGATACTTAAGTTTTCTTCATAATGGAAATTTAATAATTTCCATTCAAATGATGGTTGAATTACTATTATGCTATGAACAAGAACTAGTAGCTTCCTGTGTTTATTAATTGCTCTATTGGTCCTTAAGTTACCTGATTGATACTAGAACCCTCAGAATTCATGATAAATGCTTCTGAGACCCCTAGAAAGGTTCAATGAATTCTGGCAGCACATTAACTACAGAGAACTGATTAATAAGCACTCTTTATTAGATTAAAATTATTTTCATTGTAATAAACAGTCATATTAGCAACACAACCTGTGGAAACAAATGTAAAAACACTGTGTTCTGCAGTATATGGTTTTCTTGTAAACTCTATTCTGGTATGAGGGAACTCTCCATAAAATAAAAATAACTTTGTAATTGAAATGATCATGCTGTCTCTTTTGTGTTGCTAGGACGAATTCTTCATGCTGGCACATTGATCCCTTTTCTCAACCCCAAGTCTTTGACTCCTGTGGCTGTCTGGTAGGTTTTTGCAAAATTTCTTTAAAATTGCTTTTCCATTCTTTTCTTTGTGTTGTTGTTTTTAAATATAAATAAATTTAACCCACCTGAAAGATCTTCAGTTTTGTTTCATGCTTCTATTATGTTTTTGTTTACTGGATTATATTTTTCTTAGTATATTTCTTTATATATTTCATTATATAAAGATAATATTTAGGCAATATTATATTTATATTTAGGCAAGAGAATATTTAGGCAATTATATTATATATAGTTCAACATAGTTTTCCTGATTATTAACCAGAGTCATAACATCTTCTAGTGGGATTTATTAAGCAAATGCTTAATGATAAAAAGCTAAAATTAGCCTTTGGGAAAAAATTTCCCCAAAAGCTTCAAGGCAAGTTTCCCAAAAGAATCTTGTCATATTTTTATTCAAGTACTAAAACCTAAATATTAAATATTAAATTTGCATTTAGCTCTTCAACTGTGGTTAATTTTAGTAGAAATGTATAGAAGTCAGTATTCCACTTATAAAATGTTGGTCATAGGAATCACTGTGTCACTGTCATCCTGTTATTCATCAATTTGCTCGAGCAGGCATCAGTAACGTCTGCATTCGTCCTAGCCCTGAGTTTTTAGCAGCCTCTCCTTACTCGCTGTTCCCAATGGTGTGGCATTGGAGGCTCTTTCAGGGTCAGGGGAATGAGACACATCATTATTACTGATTTTGGCATATCAAATATGCCATGGAAGCTTGCCAGGCTTTGCCATGTGGGTGGGATACTCTCGGTAGCTTGCCAGGTTCTCTGAGCAGGAGAACTAGATTATAAAAGGTTGCATGGCCACCTATGCTGTGCTTCCAGGAGCTTTGTTTTAGTTTCTGGATTATAAATAAATACCTGTAAATGTGAACCTTGACTGAATAAAATTTATAAGGACAACCTACACACACACACACACACACACACACACACACAAACCCTTTATTTGTTCTATCATGAACCTAAAGTAAGAAATTGCCACCCAAATTGTTTCTTTAGGTTCAGGAGCATGATCTTTAGAATATATAAAAGTAAAGGCCCTCCCGTTGATCATCGATTTGCTAGAGCGGGCCCAGTAACGTCTCCATTGGAGACTTTGTTGTTACTGTGTCTGGCATATCAAATACTCTCGGTAGCTTGCCGGGCTCTCCGAGAGGGGCGGAGGAATCGAACTCGGGTGGGCCATGTTGGCTGCGTGCAAGGCAAATGCCCTACCCGCTAGGACCAATAAAAAAAAGTATTAAAAATAACATTTAATAGAGTTGAATATTCTGACACAGTCTCTCAAGCATCTGATCACTTAATCTTTGATGAAGGAGCAAGAAATGAGAAGTGGAGCAAGGAAAGCCTCTTCAACAAGTGGTGCTGGGAAAACTGGGAAGCTACATGCAAAAAATGAACTCAGACCTCTGTCTAATGCCAAGCACAAAAGTCAGATCAAAATGGGTTAAAGACTTCAATACAGATCTGAATCCCTAAGGTCCATAGAGGGAAATGTAAGTAGAACCCTCCAAGATACTAAAGCTAAAGGCATCTTCGAGGATGAAACACCACTGATCAAGCAAGTAGAAACAAACATAAACAAATGAAACTACATTAAACTAAAAAGTTTCAGCACCTTGAAAGAAAAAGTGACCAAAATACAGAAAGAGCCCGCAGAATGAGAAAAATCATTTTTGCAATATCCATCAAATAGGGGTTTAATATCCAGGATATCAAATAGAGGTTTAATATCCGGGATATAAAAGACACTGGAAGAACTTTACAAGAAAAAAAAACCCTCCAACACCATCAAAAAATGGGGAGAAGAAATGAACAGAAACTTTCTCAAAAAAGAAATTCAAATGACCAAAAGACACATGAAAAATATGCTCTACATTACTAATCATCAGGGAGATGCAAATCAAAACAACAATTCCATATCATCTTACACTACAGAAACTGCCACACATTAAAAAAGAACAAGAACAATCAGGACTGGACCGATAGCATACCGGGTAGGGAATTTGCCTTGCACATGGGCAACCTACGTTCGATTTCCTCTGCCCCTCTCAGAGAGCCCGGCAAGCTAGAAGTTACCGAGAGTATTCCACCCACACGGCAAAGCCTGGCAAGCTACCCGTGATGTATTTGATATCCCAAAAACAGTAACAACAAATCTCACAATAGAGATGTTACTGGTGCCTGCTCGAGAAAATCGATGAACAACGGGAGGACAGTGCTACAGTGCTATTTTTGCCATATTTTGTTTGGGGATCAAATACATGTCACATCTACAATCATAAAAGCAAAGAGTTTTTTCCATTTTTCCCACATCCCTGACATTCAAAAGAACCATTTAGGGAATTGAATAGAACATTAAATATTAAAAATACTGAGTAAGAACACCCACAACACAGTTAATATACTTGCTCATCAGTACATTACTATTTAAAAGGCTCAAAAACCTCTGTGTATGGTTTTTATTTTCCAAATAATCTTAACTGTAAGATTTACTGCTATATGCTCAGAAATAAATATATAATTTGCAAAGAAAATCTTTTAGAAAATTGAAAAAAAATCACAAGCTCACGAGAGAGTATAGGGTGCTTGCATTGCATGAGGCAAATCAGCATTTAAAATCTGTTTCCACATGTCGATTGCCCACCACTAAAAGGAGGGATTCTGAGCACAGAGCCAGGAGCAAGTTTTGAGCACAATAGGGTATGCCCCCCAATCCCCAAAAGGGGAAAGGAAAATTGAACAAATATATAACCTTGGAGTCCAGGTTTACCCTTGAGTACACCTACTTTATGCCAGGCATTTAAATTTTCATCAATGAAACAGCCAAATAAAATATTTTAAAAAGATCTTCCCTTATAAAGTGATGATCTAGACTGTAGATTAAAAAATAAAAACAAGATTAGTTTGGGAAACTAAAGGTTGTTATCAACCTATGAGTGATATCATAGTTGATATCACATAGTTGAATGATAAGGATTATTAGCACAGCGGGTAGGGCATTTGCCTTGCATGTGGCCGACCTGGCCAACCCGAGCTCAATTCCTCCGGCCCTCTTGGAGAGCCCGGCAAGCTACCGAGAGTATCTCGCCTGCACGGCAAAGCCTGGCAAGCTACCCGTGAAGTATTTGATATGCCAAACACAGTAACAACAAAGTTTCACAATGGAGATGTTACTGGGCCCGCTCAAGCAAATCGATGAACAATGAGAGGACAGTGCTATTATTATTGCTTATTTTAGATTTCATATGATTAATTGGGTAACATGGTCATGATAGTGTTATCACCTATGGCTTTGATGTATATAGGCAGAAACTGTACCTCAACAGTCCAAAGTGCCTATTACTCTCCACTACATTTTTTGGGAGTTTTAATTTAGGGGCACTGCTATTTACTCAGCAATGGTTAGGCTGATCGAATTGGTCATGGACCCGATTATTTTTTTATTAATTTTGTTTAATTGAATAACGGTGAGATAAACCATTACAAAGATGTTTGTAATTGGTTTTCAGTTACACAATGATCCAGCATCCATCCCTCCACCAGTGTATATTTCCTACCACCAATGTCCCCCGTTTTCCTACCACCATCCCACACCACATCCCCACCCCAGCTTCCCTCTAAAGGAGGCACCTTCCTTCTTGCTCTCTCTCCTTTTCATTTTGTGCTTTATGGTTTGTAATACAGGTGCTATGAGGTCATGGTGTTTGTTCAGGGCATTCAGTATTTTTATTGGGACAGTAAGGCTGAAGTAGTGTTTCAATTGGGTGGGAGCTTTGGGGTGTGGATGTGACTGTTGAGGCTTCCTGAAGTACAGGGACGTAGGAATAGCTAGCCCATCCCGACTCCCAGAAAGCCTGGAGATTTTAGTCACAAAACCTGCATACCAGAATTTTCAGCAGATTATATCTCGGTGAGATCCGGCCTGAGATAGTGGAGTCAGGCCAGGGGTTTGATGGCAATTTTAGATTGAGGAAGCAAACGGCGGCTGGGGACTCTGCTTGGGACAACACAGTCCAACCTGCCCCCCTCTGATTTACCCTGGTTTGTTAAGTGAATCGTGAGTCTGAGCTTGACTGTGCCTTTTGATCTCTTTTGAGATTTATTTGTGGGTCTCTGAAGCAAAGCTGGTAGTAGAGCTTACATGGTGGCACTGGAGTTGGTTCTCCACCAGAATCCTTAAGTAACTTCCAGTCCACCTCTTTATTCAACCATACCCCTCCCCACCACTGTGCTGAAACCTGAGATTTTTTAACCCTTGGTCAGGTGATTATCTTTGTTTTTCACTTTTTATTTCCTTGTTTGTCTTTGCATGCTGCAGATGAATGAAATATCTTGTATTTTTACTACTTCCTCTTATTTCACTTAACATCATCTTTTGATAGGCTATTGATTTTCTTCTTGTGAATCATGCATTATTTATATATCTGATGTCTGGTGTAGGAATATTCTCTCCCACTCACTTAGGTGACTTTTAATTCCAGCCTGAGTTTCCTTTGCTATGAAAAAGCTTTTAAAACTTGATATGTCCCATTTATTTTTGTGTGTGTTATCTTTGCCAATATAGTTAAATTATTGAAGGCACCTTTAAAGTTCATATCGTGGAGAGATCTGCCTATGTTTTCCTCATTAATATTTTGGAATTCAGTGTAATCTTGAGGTCTTTAACCCACTTTTTTAAAATTTTATGTATTGCCCGCTCGAACAAATCCATGAACAATGAGAGGACAGTGCTATGTATTGTATAAGATATGCAACCAGTTTCATTTTTTTTATGTCATTGCTCAAGTTTACCAATACTATATGTTGAAGAACTTCTGTTCTTCCTTTCACTTGATACTACCAGTTCTTCTGTCATGTATTACTGTCCATTAGTCTGAGGATTTACTTCTGGGTTCTCAATTCACTTTTATTGGTCTTTAGTTTCAGTGGTCTTTAGTTTGAAAGTCTTTAGTTTACCGCATTGTTCTGGTAACCAGAATTGCTATACTACAATTTTTTTGTTTTGTTGAATTTTTGTTTGTCACATCCAGTAGTGTTCAAGGCTTACTTCTGGCTCTGCACTCACATTACTTCTGGCTTGCTTGGGAACCACTGGTGGTATTGGGGATTGAGCTCAGCTCAGTCACGTACCAGCAAGTATCCTACATAACAGCAAGTTTTCACGTACCAACCCAAATACTACAATTTAATGCCAGCAATTTTAATATTTCCCATCTTTCTTTTTGTCAGAATTGCTTTTCTATTTGGAAATTTTTATTATTTCATACAAATTTTTATATAATTTATTCTAAGCTCTTGAAGAATTTCATCAGAATGTTATTGCAGGTAGCCTGAAATTTATGTAGTGCTTTCAGTAGAATATTATTCTTATAATATTAATTTTTCCAATTCATTTTCTCTCCATTTACTGCGCTCTTTTTCCTTTTTGTCAAAAATAATTTTTTATTTTCAATGTGTAATATTTTCAAATCTCTTTGCTAAGTTGTCATATGTATTGATATTTTGGGCACCACTTTTATATAGGGATATATATTTTTATGCATTTATCTTCTAGTTTGTGATTTATAGACAGAAATGCAACACATATTGTTATTTGGTTTTGTAGCCTACTATTTTCTGTATCGGTTTATTGTTTCAAGAGTTTTTTTGTCCTATCTTCAGGATCTTTATTCATATCATCATTTTATATGTCTATGTTTGTATATAGAGAAAGGAAGAGAAGAGAGTTTAATTTCTCTTCTAATTTGAATAGCTTTTGTTTCTTGCTAAACTGCTGTGGTATAGACTTCCAAAACCCCTTGCCTATGTAGCCCTTGTCAGTCACAGACACATGACATGCAAAACGGAACTGCCAAGCCTTCCCTTCCATATCACGGCACATCCTGCTGAAGTTAGGAACTTTCTTTTTTTAATATGACACAACATGTCTGACAGAAATTGATAAAAATATTTGCTGTGAGTCTACTCTGGTCTTTGGAGGAGTGGAGGGGAGGTGAGAGGTAGAGAATAGCATTCTCTCACTGATTTTGTGATTTAAATGTACAATCTCTCTAATGCTGGACCACCGTGACAGTATCTAACAATACACTTTTTTTTTTACTTGGGTGTTCAAATAATTCTGGCTGGTGTCTCCACAGAAAAAAGGGTCAAGAGAAAAGGAATCTGCAATTTCATATTCATCGGTTGGAGGGCATGGAAGTCCCCATTAGAAAGCCAGCACCTACTATATACCTATTCCTATTTCTTGAGGGTATTTTTTTTAATTTGATGGGCTGAAGCTATAGCACAACAGGTAGGCATTCACCTTGCACGTGGCTGACCCGGCTGACCCAGGTTTGATTCCTCCACCTTTCTTGGAGAGCCCGGCAAGCTACCGAGAGTATCTTGCCCACACGGCAAAAGTGTGGCAAGCGACCCGTGATGTATTCAATATGCCAAAGACAATAACAATAAAGTTTCACAATGGAGATGTTACTGGTTCCCCTCAAGCAAATCGTTGAAAAACGGGAGGACAGTGACAATGACAGTGATGATGGGCATTGAATTTTGTCAAAAATTTTCTTTGCATTAATACTATCAGATAGTTTTTATCTTTTGTTGATATGCTGTATGTATCACATTAATTGATATACATTTGATGAATCATTCTTGCATTCCTGGAATGTTTTTGTATCACTTTCTTCTACTGAATACCTCAAAACTATACTCAAAACTGAATAATCTTTACTACAGAGGATTCTGTACAAAAGAGAATGATTACTTTTTAAATCCTCTTTTTATGACTTACTCTAACAAAAACATATGAGTTATGTAAGGATGGAAATATTTTTATGCAAATTAAAAACCTAACATGAAAGATCCAGAGAAGGTGTGATTCCCAAGAGATGAAACTGTTATAGTATGTGATTTTTCTTAAATAGTACGAGGTAAACGAAAGCAAGCCATACCTCCAGTGACAAGAAATATACATCACGGATACATCACTGTGATGCCAGAAACAACAGGCTTTGGTTGCACTGAATTAGGACTCTTTAGAGAAATTATTTCCTCATTTCTTTTTTAAGTCACTAGAGAAAAGGTGCTTTGTTTCTATCTTTGGTACACAGAAGCACTTTCCTTTGATTTCTTTGCTTCTATCCTCTTACTTGTACCTGATTCTCTATGTGATCAACCCAAAAAAATGAAAACTTTTTCAATTTGTGGTTCTCAAAATATTACCCAAATGACATATAAAAAACAAGTGGAAGTAACTGAATATAATTGACTGCAAAAGTCTGAGTGGAATTGAGATAAAATTCTCAAATATATGCAGTTCTCAAATATTTTTTAAAAATATATGGTGATAGATAATTTATTGCAATTTGAAATCTAGGAAAGTTCACATCTACTTATGTAATTATCATGGGATAGAAATATATTTTAATTTTGTCTCTTTGAAATAATTACAGCAGTGTCCAAACAGAAGTGCCAAGGCCCCTTACCTGGTCAGTCGCCTGGGCCACACCCTGCTGAACCTGTCTTCCTTTAACCTGGAGGATTATTTGCTGATGCCACATGAAAAACCAAGGTGGGTTCAAAACTCTGGTTGGAATTTAGAAATTTTATTTCTTATTTTTAATCTTTCCCCAATTTTTTGATCGAGTTAGTTGTAGTTTTCTTTTTGTTATTGCTGTGTAGAGTTCTAGTACACCTTTACATATCTTGGATATTAGCCCTTTATCTTATAACTTTTGGGCAAACTTACTGTTCCAATCTTTGAGGTATCTTTTCATTCTGTCCACTGTTACCTTTGCCGTACATAAGCTTCTTAGTTTGATATAGTTTCATTTTTTTTATATTTGTTTCAGTTTACTTAGACAATGGTTTTGAATCATTGACGGTACCTCTAGATTTAATATTATGATGATGACATTGTAAATCTTTGCCATCAGAATTAGGAAAAATAGTAAAGGCATCTAGACTGGAATAAAGAAAGGTAAAATTCTCTCTTTATGCAAATGACATGATAATATATTCAGAAAATCTTTAAAAAGTCCATACAAACAATAAAAAGCTTCTTGAAACAATATACATGTACAGTAACATTGCAGGTTACAAAATCAATGAACAGAATTCCATAAATTTCATATATGAAAATAATAACACTGTAACACTGTAGCACTGTCCTTCCGTTGTTCATCAATTTGCTCAAGTGGGCCCAATAATGTCTCTATTGTGAGACTTGTTACTGTGTTTGGCATATTGAATATGTCACAGGCAGCTTGCCAGGCTTTACTGTGCAGTCTAGATACTCTCGGTATCTAAAAGGGGTGGAGGAATTGAACCTGGATAGGCTGCGTGCAAGGCAAACGCCTTAACAGCTGGGCTATCGCCCCAGCCCTATGCAAATTATATAAAAGAAAAAAAGATGAATTCCGTGGTGGGGGAGGATGGGCACTGGTGGTGGGATGGGTACTTGATCATTGTATAACTGAAACCCAAGCACAAAAATGTATAAGTCTATAACTGTACTTCATGGTGTTTCACTAATAAAAAAAATAAAAATTAAAAAATTTAAAAAAAATCAATAACATTTACAATTGTGCCTCAGAAAATCAAGTGCCTGGAAATCAGCTTATCAAAATAGGTGAAAGATTTATAAAAATAAATATATAGAACACTACTAAAAGAAATAAATTGAATAAATAAAAGAGAACACTAGGAAATTGAAACAAATCCCGTTCATGGATTGGAAGAAACACTGTCAAAATGAAAATCTTGCCTAAAACACTATACAGATCCAGTGCAGTTTTTATAAGATACCCAGTGTAATTTTTAAAGATGTAGATTGAACACTTAAAATATTTATAATAAAATTCTCAGATAGCCAATGCCAGTATAAGTAAAAAAAAGATGGGAGGCTTCTTTCCCCCAATTTTAAATTATACCATAAGGTAGTAGTGATTAAAATAATGTGAAATTAGGGTAGACTAAGAGATAGCTGAGAGATGTGTCTGCAGGTGTATGGACAATTAATCTTTGATAAAAAGCATAAAAAAAGTATAACAAAGAAAGTCTTTTCAACAAATGGTTCTGGAAAAACTGGTTTGTTAATGCAAAAAGAAAAAAAACTCAGATTTCTTTGTAACAACATGTGCAAAAGTCAAATCAAAATAGACTACATACCTCAATATTAGAACTTAATCCATAAATTACATCAAGGAAAATATAGGTAGAACACTTTGTAACTTTGAACTGCTATTTTTTGAATGCTCAGATTTTGCACTAGCATCTGGCAAATGAAATTTCTTGACTCTGGAGTAAATGAATGAATTAAATTGTGTGATGTGGGGAAATATTCATTTTCCTGTACCTTAATTTTGTTTAGAGGAAGTATATTATGCTTAAAAGTTTCTGTCAGTGGCTGGAGTGATAGCACAGCAGGTAGACAATTTGCCTTGCACACGGCTCACCCGGGTTTGATTCCCAGCATCCCATATGGTCCCCTGAACACCACTAGGAGTAATTCCTGAGTGCAGAGCTAGAAGTAACCCCTGTGCATTGCCGAGTGTGAGCCAAAAGCAAAAAAAAAAAAGTTTCTGTCAGTCTTATTTTGTTCATAATGTTATCTATTCTTTAACATCTATCATATTCTAAAGTTCATAAAGGTAAAGGTAAAGGCCCTCCCGTTGATCGTCGATTTGCTCGAGCGGGCCCAGTAACGTCTCCATTGGAGACTTTGTTGTTACTGTGTCTGGCATATCGAATACTCTCTGTAGCTTGCCGGGCTCTCTGAGAGGGGTGGAGGAATCGAACTCGGGTCGGCCATGTTGGCCGCTTGTAAGGCGAACGCCCTACCGCTGTGCTATTCTAAAGTTCATAGGTACCAAATACCAAATGCTGGATTTTGTATGGAATTTGGAGATAACATATGCTATTCTCAGCTAGAAAAACTCAATGGGCTGCATAAATAGAAAGCAGCTAATAGTTCATGAAAAATCTAATATGATAATTTACACAATGATAAAAATGCGGTACACTGTGAGTACAGAGAGGAGAGGAGAGGGTGGGAGGGGAGGGGAGGGGGGAAGGGGAAGGAAGGTATACTCCAACTGAGTAATTATGAATATCTTTCTAAAGAAGAAAACTTTTGCTTTGAAAGCCCTAAGACCAAGAAGAAAGAAGAAAAAATTAAGGAAGGGCAAGAGAGCATGACAAATTAAGTAATTTGTAAAGTTGACTTCCAGGAGAAACTAATTTAAAGCATTTAAAGGAAAGATGGTAGCAGGTAATCTTGTGCTATGCATGGTATTGATGTACAAATGCCATCACTAACAGTTATGAAATCACACACATACATACACCACACACACACGCACACACACACAGAGTGTGACTGCTCATTGCCTTGTCCTCTAGAGTCCTGCTGAGGTGTGTATTCCTATTAGGAAGGTAAGTTCTGAGAAATGCCTTATCTATATCTTCTGAATAAACATTTTCCTCCCTGGAAGCCAGCTTTATCATCCAGTACTCCTGCTTCAGTGTGATTCCCTGACTGTGGCTGTGTGACAGAATGGAGGCATAGCTGTCTGATGCTTTAAGGCCATTGCAACTTGAGCAAAGGGTGATGAAATATCCTCTTTTGGGAAGTCTTTATGCTCCTGCATTAAAGCACTAATAACTTGTTTACTATTATTAGGCTTGGAGGTTGGTCTTTTGGAGTGCCACTGCCAGACAAAGTTGAAGACTCAGATTCAAATATATCAAAACCAAAAACTCTAGAAAAGGTAAAATTTAATTTTCCTTCCTCTGATAGAGTTTCAAAAATTCAATAACCATTGTGTTTAGAGAAAAAAATCAAAGTTCCGTTGTTTGTTAATGTTAAATAAAAATGGGTGTACATAAACATTTTTCTGAAAAAAAGAAAATGGGTGAACTGTTTTCCTTTATGCTGTAGAGGCATAAACAAATAGATTATTGTTTCTTTATAGCATAATATAGCTAATAGAACACGGCAAGTAAGATTATATATGCACATATATAATATACATAGATATACATAGATATAGGGTATGCATATATTATATATGTGCAAATATATACATTTTAATTAGATGCTGTGATTTAAAAAGTTGTTTATAATAGAGTTTTATGCATACAATGTTCCTATCTCCAGTCCCACCATTCCATGAGTCTATCCCTTTACCAACAATCCCAGGTTCTCCATACTCCATACCTGACTCCTTGACAGATGCATTTTTAATTATTATATTTAGGTCCCATTCTTTCAGAGGACAAATTATGTTTTTAAAGAACATTATTTGTGTCCTTAGAGGTCAATGAGTTGTCTTAGAATTTATTAAGCTGTTTGTAGCTTAATAATTCAGCCACCAGTATCATTGTTTTTATTTGTTGAGTTTGGTTGGCTGCCATTTTAATTTTCCATTTAATTTGCTGTGCTCCTACTGGAATTTCAGTATTGAGGTATTTAGAGGTGTTGCATGACCAACACTCCAGAGACTTCAGGATCTATGGTCAGGCCCAATGTGTCAACACTGAGGTTGTTGTGGGAGGTGGCATGCAACTTGAGCAAAGGGTGATGAAAGGCATGGTTTCCTGAGCTTCTCTGGATGTATGGGGGTGGGGGTAGGAAGAGAGTGTCCCCCTCCCCTGACTCTGTGAAACACCAAGTTCTCAGCCTGGGACAGGAGTACCTGAAATTATTCTTAGTTTGACATCTCTGAAGAGGATATTTGTGAACTGGTGGAATTGAGCACTTGTGTGGCTGCAGTGGTGTGGTTTGGGTGCAGCTTCTGCAGTTTTGGCAGGGTGGGTACTTGGCCCTCTTGTCTCCCAAGGGAAGCCCCAGATTTCAGCCATGGGGACCAGTGTGCTCAGGAATTTTAGTTTCTTGGCCTGCATTTCCTGGGAGATTTAATTGAGAATTGGTAGAGCAGGTGGGTGAGTTGACATGGTAGGGACTGGGGAGGTGCCGTGGTTAATAGGTCTTAAATTCTATTTAATTTTCCTTTTAGGTTTAAAAATATTACAAGGAAGGGGTGAATAGTGATCTGATATGAAAAAGACAAAGGGTCAATTTTTTATTTTTATTTTTTGCTTTTTGCATCATACTCAGCAATGCTCAGGGGTTACTACGGGTACTGCACTTGGAAATTACTCCAAGTGGTGCTCTGGGATTGAACCCGTGTCCGCTGCGTGCAAGGCAAATGCACTACCCACTATACTATCATTCTGGCCATGGGTCTAATTTTTTAATTGCTTAATGAAGTGGACTGTTAGAGAAATAACTGGAGGAACAATGCCTTGTGTACACAATGGCTTGTACTTATCAACATCAATAGGTTACTCTTTAGTTGTTCAGGTCAACACAAGAGTTGCCACAAAGGTTTTCAATGTGAAATGTGTGGCAAGTAATAGAATGGACTACAAAAATAAAGCTATTTGGAAAACAAAGAATTTGCCATCTGCTCCTAACTTTTCATAAACTGTAAGAATCTGTATAAACTCTGAAAACTAGCTTTCTGTGTAGCCCTGATTCAGCAAAGATTATTTATTGTAAAACAAACAAACAAATAAAAAAAAAACAGCATTATCTAGAGAAACTCACTGTTCGATATTGGAATCAAGACCAAAATTTTCCGGTTATATTTCCTTAGGGCACTCACAATTTCTAAATTAAGTAACATTTTAATTTTTTTATACAAATGATATTTTGCTATATAGATGGTGATGTTTCAATTGGTTTTATATATATGCTACTTAGTGTCTCAACTTTAATAACACTGTTTCTCTGTTTCTTTCTCTTCTGTGACAAGCAGGTTACTTTATTATCCATGCTCAACAAATGTTCAGTTCAATTTATTTTGAGAAATAATGTTCCATATGCAGTTATTAATTTGAGTGTAATAATTTTTTTTCTGATAACTTTCCATGCTTTTAATTTGCAGGTCAAATTTCATTAGCTTACCAAGTTAGAAAGGGGAAAATGATTGGCTTAGGTTCCTTTTTCTCTGTGAGAATATAAATATAGAGCAATATTCACATTTGTTTTGAGAAAAATATTCAACTATTTTTAGCTTCAAATTATATGCTTGAGATAAATACAAAATTAGTAGGCTGAAATTTACTGCTGACACTCAGCCATTCAGGAACACTATTTAGAGTACTGCATTCAGGTACTTTTGAAACTAATTGGCATGTGCATCTCTTATGTCTGAAAATAACCTACAAAAAGATATAAGCACTAATTTTAGAAGAGCCATTAAGTTATTTATTTCTTTGTTATAGGTGTGGTATAATCAAAAGGGGTTTCATTCTCTCCCTTCCTACCTAAATCATCTGAACAACCTTATATATTGGAGATTTTTACCTCCTGTAGTGGACTGGAGACAATACGGTAATTAAATATATTTTTATGTTATAATTCATTACATTTAAAAGTCAATGGTTTTGTAAATACAAAAGAGATTATGAATAAGAATAGAGGAGTGGATCAAAGGTTTTATATAAATACAAAGTTGTATACCTCACTTGTCTCTATTTTCTAGCTACAAATATATGTACCTTCTCTAAATATGGCCTCCTATGTAAGATCCAGGTATAAAATATGATTTGAAAGTTCCTTTTCAGTACCTCATAAGGTTAGAAAAGCAAGAGTACTTATTATTTTTAAAGGTATCTTTATATAGAATTCTGTTTTAGACCCTGGATGCCTCATATGGATGTTGATTCCTAATCAGTGGCTTGTGTTTATCATAGATGTACTGCATGCGTTTTCTTATTTTGAAATAGAAAACAGTATATTTTAGTTTTCTGTTATTTATTTGTAATAAAAGAAATTTTAAGAAAAAGTACACAGTGTTTCTGGAATCCAGAGTGAGTTCACTGGTTACAGTGGATGTTTTTATATCTAACTTGAGTAGGATAGGTGAATTCATCAAATTAATTTAGCTAATTAATATTAAAAAGGTGAAAATAAAACAGTATATTTAAGTAACAGTATGCCATTTCCATCCTAATTTATTAAATATATATTTGAAACATTAGGTTGCATAAAAATAAATACTAAACTGTTTATCTCAAAATATCATCTATTTTTTCTATGTTTTTACTTTTTATCATATTATTACTGAAACATATATAACTAGTTTGTAGCATTATAATCATTTGGGAAGATGGTAGGGAATTTGTTAAATATATATGCCTAAAAGAAAGGTAGAAAAAGTATGAGTCTTAGAAATTAAGAAAAAGGTGATTTTTCATTATGTCTCAAATGTACAAGGGATAGCATTATGTATGCAGCATCTTTAATTTAACTTTTATAGACATTTGAAAGCAGTCAGTTGCTTAATATACTCACTGTAATATTGAATGAATTTCAGGAAAATCCTTACAGTATTGGTTCTGAGTATGTTCAGAAATGGGACATACTATGGTGTTAGCTAATAACCATCTTCCCCTCCCCTCCCCTCCCCTCCCCTCCCCTCCCCTCCCCTCCCCTCCCCTCCCCTCTCCCCCTCCCCTCTTCTCCTCTCTTCTCCTCTCTTCTCCTCTCTTCTCCCCTCCTCTCCTCTCCTCTCTTCTCCCCTCCTCTCCTCTTCTCCTAAATCAAATTGAAAAGTTATTTTTAATGAACATGAACTGAGTATGCTTCATGGGTGTGAAGCAATAAACAAGTAAAATTTGATATTGGGGGCCTGAATGGTCATACAGTGGCTTATTAAGTGTTTGCCTAAATGTAGTCAACCCAGATTTGATCCCTGATGCCCTATATGGTCCCCCAAGCCCTCAAGAAGTCATCCCTGAGTCAGGGGTAAGTCCTAAACACAGTTGGGCGTGGCCCCAAACAACAGCTACCAAAAAATTTTGATTTTTTGGTTGCTGTTGTCAGCAACCCAAATTCAGCTGTGTCAGCATAAATAATGCAAACTAAGTCACAGTGTCTGTCTAAGTGACATGGAGGATTACAACCAGCTTGACCCCATCGTAAAGGTGAGTGTTGAGAGACAATTGTTCTTACTGAAAGGTTGTTGAAGTCAAATACTGTTAGATCTTAACTGACAGATTGGGTAATATGGTGTTTATCTTAGAAATAGTATGAATAGGAATGGAAGGTAAAGTTTTGCTGATGAGGAAGAAAAGCATATGTAGAGATTTTTGATAACTTTAGAAATGTAGAGGGTTAATTAACAGATTATAAAAATATTTTTAAGTGATTTACTAATAAGCATTGGTGACATATCTGAAATACTTTAGGCAAAGACATGTTTTAAAAAGGAATAAATCATTTCTACAGGTTCCAAAAAGTTGGATGTAAGTCTCATTAGGTAAACATATGCAACAATATTCAGGTAATAAGAGAGATAATGTGATTAGTGTGGTCTTATGTAATACTATTTATACTCAATCCATCTAATAATAAAAGTGAAATAAAAATGAAAGTTAACATCTACAAAACATGCAGAAATCAAGACTAAGAACATGGGAAGGACAGAGATTTTGATGTTCCCAAAGACAGTAAAATATTGGCAAAGACAATAGGGGTATTAGAAATTTATAAGAGAGATAAAATTATCAGATTCTAATTAGAATAATAAACATGGAAATGATTTGCTGATCTCTAAACAGTAGGTTAGTGGACTTGTGTTGAAACAAGAGAGAAAGAGAGAGTGGTTTTAGGGATTTAGGAAACAAGCAAGTTTTCCTTTAGAGAGTATTGTCATTTTTGTACCTGTCTGTGCTGTGTCAGAAAGAGACTGGAAAGTGCAGTCCCCAGAATAGAAGTGTGCGCTTATAACCTGGGATTTGAAGAATTTGTATGAATAAATATCTAAGATACCTTATGTCCCCACTAAATTTGAATACACATTCTTCTTCAATGCAAATGGAACATTCTCAAGGACACTCACATATGACTGGGCACTGTTTAAATATTTATAAAGTTGTGAAAATGGAAACCATATCAAATATCTTTTCAGCACATAGAATCAATGTGAAATGAACCATAAAAGTAAAGTAAGGAAAAGGCAAAAGTTGGAAACTGAACAACATACTTCAAAAGAACTTGGGTCAAAAAAATTAAAATCTGCCGCCCATAAACACCTCCTATGGCTCCTGTATGATGATGATCCCAGAGGCACACAAAACAATCTCAGAACCGAGCAGCTTTTAACAGTAATCCCTCCAGACTTATTACTAAAACATCAGAAATCCAAAATTGGGTGACCGTGATAGTGGCCGTGCAACATAATATGCTCTTCATAATCAGCAATAGAAAACAAATTATCTAATGATGTATATTTTTGGCAGGTCTGATTGTTTGGGAAAATTCCAAATAATAATGGCGGGTCTTTCATCGTAATATTGAATGTGATCAACATAGAGAGAGAGTAAAGTGAAAATCTGCAACACAGGCATGGGAAGGGATGGAGGGGGATATACTGGGGTTCTTGGTGGTGGAAAATGTGCACTGGTGAAGAGATGGGTGTTTGATCATTGTATGACTGACTGAGACTTAAACTGAAAGGCTTTGTGGCTGTTCTCACGGTGATTCAATAAATTAAAAAAATTTTAAAAAATTAAAATCAAAATCAAATTCTTGAAAAGTTAAAGTACAGACACACTTTCAGACTATATTTTAAGGCAAAAGTAGTATCAAGAGTGATATCCAGAGCGACAGAAGCATATACCAGAAAAAGGGAAAAACTTCAAATTAATAACTGAACCTCACATTTTAGCAACTAGAAAAAGAATAACTAAATTCCAAAATAAGAAGAGAAAAGTAAATAATAAAATTAGAGCAGGAATCAGTGATATAGAAGGCAGGAAATCAGGAGCTAGAGTAGGAATACAGCAGGTAGTGTGTTTGTTTTGTGTACATCCATCTTGGGTTTTATCTTTAGCATTTTATATGATCCCCTGAGTGCCCCTGGAAGGAATCCCTGAGGGCAGAGCCAGGTGTAATGATCAGAGACAGATCATCACCCAGTGTGGCCCAAAAAAACTAAAGCAAAACAAACCAAAAAAAGAGTGAGGATTAAAAAAAAAGACAAAAGGTTAATGAAACGAAGAACTGAAATTATTTTTATTTTTTATTTTTTTTATTTTTTCAGTGAATCACCATAAGGTACAGTTACAGACTTTCAAAGTTTCGTGCTTATGTTTCATGATCGAGTACCCATCCTCCACCCAAGAACTGAAATTATGAAAAAATAAATTAAGCTCACAAGGAATAAAAGAAACAACAACAACAACAAAAACCCAACCCAGATCGATATAAAAGGGATAAAATACAGAAGAAACCTCTTCTGAAAAAAAAAAAAAAACAAAAAAAAATCACTAATAAAAAAAAGAAAATTAAACCTGAAAAAAAAACCCAAATAAAAAAAAACAAGCAAACAAAAAACAATTTATCTTCTGTAAAAACAATTCTTTGCCGTCACTGTCACTGTCATCTCATTGTTCATTGATTTGCTTGAGTGTGCACCAGTAACATCTCCATTCGTTCCAGCCATAAGATTTTAGCAGCCTCTCCTCGCTCGCCCTTCCCAATGCTGCTTTATTGGAGGCTCTTTCAAGGTCAGGGGGATGTGACCCGTTATTGTTACTGTTTTTGGCATATTGAATTTGCCATGGGGAGCTTTCCAGACTCTGCCATGTGGATGGGATACTCTAGGTAGCTTGCCCGGCTCTCTGAGAGGGACGGAAGCTTTTGGGCACTCCAGGAAATACTGTGTCGCTCTCTTCTGGGAGCTTTGTTTTATAGTCTCTGGATCTTGGTCATTGATTAGATTGCTTGGCACTGGGGGGCAGTTTGTGAGTGTGACTGCCGAGTTACTGGAAAATGGGGGATCTGGGTGGAGGAGGCCCAGTCCCGATTCGAGCAGGCTTGGAGATCTCAGCCCCCGGTCCCACATACCTGGGTTCCTCTGTCATTCTTTCATGCGTGAGGCTTGTCTGAGCGTGTAGAGTGTGGCCTTGAGTATGGCTGTGGCTGAGTTCTGGAAGTTTTCAGCTGCTGGGGCTCTGCTTGGGGCGGGGAGGGAAACTCAACCCTCACCCCTCTGAGGGGGCCCCGGTGAAGACAGCCTGGTGCGGGGGCAGGAGATTCTGCATAGCTCTTCCGGGAGCTTTGTTTTATAGTCTCTGGATATTGGCCTCCATGAGATTACATGGTGCTGGGAGCAGTTTTGCCATAAGCTGGAAAACCTATAAGAAATGGAATCATGCAATCTTCCAGTACTGAATCAGGAAAAAGTAGAAACCTGACCATGCTACCTGCATATAATGTAACAATAAAATAAATAGTAAATGTAAGATATCACAAAAATGTAAAATCATGCAATTTGCCGCAACATAGATGAAACTAGAGAGTGTTATGCTGAGTGGTCAGCCAAA